AGTTGGGGTGGCCTTCCTTTTCTTTCCTCCCCCCGCTGGAGGGGGAGAGGCTTCTTCTTCCTCCTCCTCCTCGTCCTCAGAGGCGGAGGGTGTTCGGGGTTGTCAGGCGATGAATCTGACACCACCAGGCGCCGGGAACTCTTTCGAGTCCCCGTGGCCTTCTTCTTGGCCTTCTTCTCCGGCACCACGTGAGGTGCCGGAACCAGCAGCTTCGTCAAGCGTGCGTCTGCTGGGCCTTCGAGCAAAGGGGCCGGACAGTCAAACTGTCCGGACGTCCTCTTCCAGTCCCGTCAAAGGAGCAGGAGTTTAGATCCTATATGGAGTCAAACTATGAAAATCAAGTGTCCCATGGAGGACAAAAAGCAAGCTTACTTCGGTGGCTTGGCGCTTGGCGCAGAATCCGCGATCCTCGGTGACGGGAGGGGAGACCTCGGAGCTCTTGAATAGCACCTTCCAGGCGTCCTCGTGCTTTGTGTCAAAGAGCCGGGACAGAGTTTGGTGCTGGGCCGGGTCGAACTCCCACAAGTTGAAGGCCCGTCGTTGACACGGAAGGATCCGGCGGAAGAGCATGACCTGGACTACGTTAACAAGCTTAACCTTCTTGTTCACCAGGTCTCGGACGCAGGTTTGGAGTCCGGTCACCTCTTCCGGACTACCCCACAATAGGCCCGTCTCTTTCCAAGATGTGAGCCGTGTGGGGATGCCAGATCGGAATTCGGGGGCCGCTGCCCATTCAGGGTCACGCAGCTCGGTGATATAGAACCACCCTGACTGCAACCCTTTGATGGTCTCTACGAAGGCGCCCTCGAGCCATGTAACGTTGGCTATCTTGCCCACCATGGCGCCTCCGCACTCCACTTGGCGGCCGCCCACGACCTTCGGCTTGACACTAAAGATCTTCAGCCATAGGCCAAAGTGAGGCTGGATGCGGAGGAAGGCCTCACACACGACGATAAACACCGAGATGTTGACGATGAAGTTCGGGGCCAAATCGTGGAAGTCCAGGCCGTAGTAGAACATGAGCCCCCGGACGAACGGGTGAAGAGGAAAGCCCAGTCCGTGGAGGAAATGGGGGAGAAACACAACCCTCTCATGGGGCCCAGGGGTGGGGATGAGTTGCCCCTCATTTGGAAGACAGTGCGCGATGTCGTCAGACGAGTATCCGGCCTTCCTCAACTTTTTGATTTTCCCCTCCGTGACGGAGGAGGCCATCCATCTACCTCCCGCTCCGGACATGATTGGAGAAAGGTTGAGGTGGGAAGTGCGGACTTGGGCGCTAGAGCTCGAGTGCGCAGGGATGGATAAGCAAAGGAGGAAGAAGGCGTAAATGGAAAGGGTGGATCCTTATCCCCTTATATGGGCGGCCGAAACTATAAGCCCCCACCAGCCTAATAAAACTTTCTTATCTCCCAAGCACCGCGGTTAATGGCGCGGTTGGGTTACCCATGCCCGTATTGATGAGAATCCTGGAATAAGGGGACACGATCTCTGCTTTGACAAGACGTGCCAAGGAAACCACCTCGCTAAACGCGCTGAGGTGGAACAGTAAGACGATTCGAATAAAGGCTTGGCCGTGGCGTGATGTCACGCTGCGGAATATGTCAGCAGATTAGATTTGTGCAGATATTATTCTCTCTACGGTGGTATGTGGAACTTATTTTGCAGAGCCGGACACTATCCTTGTGTTCAACATCTTCTATGAAGTATTCGGAGGAGGAACCCGCCTTGCAATGCCGAAGACAATTTGTGCGCCGGACTCGTCGTCATTGAAGCCTAGTTCAGGGGCTATTGAGGGAGTCCTGGATTAGGGGGTGTTCGGATGGCCGGACTATGACCTTTGGCCAGACTCCCGGACTATGAAGATACAAGATTGAAGACTTCGTCCCGTGTCCGGATAGGACTTTCCTTGGCGTGGAAGGCAAGCTTGGCGATATGATATGAAGATCTCCTCCCATTGTAACCGACTCTATGTAACCCTAGCCCTCTCCGGTGTCTATATAAACCGGAGAGTTTTAGTCCGTAGGACGAACAACAATCATACCATAGGCTAGCTTCTAGGGTTTTGCCTCTCTGATCTCGTGGTAGATCAACTCTTGTACTACCCATATCATCAATATTAATCAAGCAGGAGTAGGGTTTTGCCTCCATCGAGAGGGCCCGAACCTGGGTAAAAACATCGTGTCCCTTGTCTCTTGTTACCATCCGCTTAGACGCACAGTTCGGGACCCCCTACCCAAGATCCGCCAGTTTTGACACCGACACCAGCCATGTAGGCGGGGCTACCGGCGGCTGCACGCCTCCCATGCCCGCCAGGTGTTTGATGTTTTGTCTGCTGGGCAATGGACTCGGACAACGAGGAAGCGCTCGCGGCGCTGCTGGAGGAGGAAGCCGATGCCGATGCCCAGGACAAAGAGCACTTCATGGTCCTCGCCGCTCTGGCCGGCCTGTTCGCGAGAAATGCAAAGCCGCGGTGAGGTGGCTCGGCGCCGGGCCGGTAGAAGGCAAAGCAGAGGCATTGACTGGAGGGCTGCTAGTTGCTATATGCCGACTACTTCGCCGATGCTCCACTACACGGCGAGAAAGTATTTTGGCACCGTTATCGGATGAGTCGAAAGCTCTTTCTTAGGATTGTGAATTCCATCCGGGAGTTCGATAGCTACTTCAAGTACAAGAAGGATTACGCTGGCACACTTGGATCCACCTCACTCTAGAAGTGCACGACAACTATGAGGATGCTTGCATATGGAGCTCCCGGTGATATACTGGAAGACTATGGACGCATGGTCGAGTCCACCACCAGAGTGTTTGTACAAGTTCTGCAGGGCGGTGGTGGCAGTGTTTGGACCACGATACTTGCAATTACCCAATGTTGAAGACACTTCTTGAAGCCTAGCACAGAATGCAGGAAGAGGATTCCCTGGGATGCTTGGAAGCATCGACTACATGCATTGGGCATGGAAAACTGTCCATTTGCTTGGCAGGGGATGTACAAAGGCGCCAAAGGAGCTTGCAATGTGGTACTTAAGGCAGTGGTCGCACATGACCTCTGGATTTGGCACTCCTTCTTTGGTATGCTAGGAACTCACAATGACATCAATGTACTGCAGTGCTCGGATGTCTTTGTCAAGCTTGTTGAAGGTCATGCTCCTCCGGTGAACTTCGAGGTCAATTGGCGCCACTACAACAAGGGATACTACCTAGCAGATGGCATCTATCCGAAATGGTCCATATTTGTGAAGACTATCTCAAACCCTGTGCCAGGAGGCAAGAACTCCTACTTTGCCAAGTGTTAGGAGGCTTGCAGGAAGGATGTCGAGCGGGCATTTGGTGTGCTCCAATATCGATTTGTTGTTGTGCGGTACCCCACTCCGACCCGGTCGAAAGATCAAATGTGAGAAGTCATGACTTGTTGTGTCATCTTGCATAACATGATCATTGAGAGCGAGTAGGAAGAGCCAGTGTTCGACACTAAACCATATTAAAGGCAAGGTCCTCTTGCCCAAGTTGATCACCAGTTACCGGCAACCTAGGCTACCTTCCTGAATATGCGGCAGGTGGTCCGAGACCCACAGGTGCATCAAGAACTGCAGCACGATCTGGTGGAGCACCTATGGAGGCTCAAGGGCAACACGTAGCTCGACGTGTGATGAAATTAGTTTTTATTTGAGTTCAAATTATGAGTTTGATTTGTTGAACTATTTGTTTGTATTGATTTCTGTGATGAACTATGTGATAAAAATTAGTTAGTGTTGAATTTGTGTCGAAGCACGTCGAATATGGGTCGAAATTGGGCCAATTTACGCCGAAAGTGGGCCGAAATCTGCGGATGGGGGCGACCTTGGGGGGTCGGCTTGG